CATCATGGCTTGATGGACAAGCAGAAGAAGATAGAAGATTGGCTCCTTAAATCATCATTGTCACCAGATCTGCCAAAAATAATAGTAGTTGTAAAAACAATGTAATAAACTAGATTTGAATCCTCAAACATTATTTCAGAAAATACTAAAAAATATATATATATACCGGTACAGCTAAAGTGAATAAACCTTAAATACTTCAGTGTTTCTTATGTCATGAAATGTAATGCAAATGTACATTTTTTTCAGTGTTTCCCACGTGTTCCCGTGCATTATTAAGAGAAACACAAAAAACTAATATAAAGAGGTTTAAATATTTAAAATAATATGACTGGTGTTGTAAGGTTCTGTTTTTGTGATGTGTGAAAATGTAAAGTAGACCTGTCTGTGATTGGTGGAGTCTGAAGAAGCAGACTGGTTTACGATGATGGAGATGCTGCTGATTAAAACCTGGTATTCATATTTTGCTCAGTCCAACAAACCGCACCTGAGCAGCTTTGTACCTGTATCAGTTAGAAATCACTTAAATTAGTTTGTATGGGTGAGACTCCTTTTTTTGCTTGATTCTAGTTTTCTCCTTTAATTGATTGTATTTTTGTTTGAATTTATAATAGTATTCAGTTTTTTTTTTTTTTTTCCTGAGATAATTTTGTTTGTTGTTTTGGCATTAAGCTCACCCTGAGGTCAAATAGATTCCATAATTTTGCAATAACCTTTAAAAAAAAAAAAAACATTATAAACAAACCATCTTAAACTGAAGACTTATGTAATGTGGCTGCTTGAGGACTCGAGATGAATCATCTTCATACGAAGGTCTGGCCACCCCTAGATCTATCATTAAAAAGAATTACTTTTATATATAAACAAAACAATAAAAATACAAAAAAAAAACATACAACTCTTCTGAAATAGCCAGGAAATGTATTGGTAAAATTAAAAGAACAAAAAATGTTTACATCCAAAGGCTTAACGTGCATTTACAAAATACTGTGTCAGAAAGAATAATCCTGAAAGAAAGCGATTTCTGCTGAGTGTGTGTGTCTACATGTGAGTGGAGGCCCTGCAGTCACAAGCTTATTAGGGAGTAATTGGAGCACAATAACCAGTGAACAGCTGAACACCGTGTCTGCTTGATGCTGCTATCTTGGGCTAAATACAGGAAATTACAGACTGTATTTTCTGTGGTTTTTATTGGGTTTTACACATCAGTGTTTAATTGACATGAGTGAACCTAAAGGCACTGTGCTAGAAATATTCGAAAACTTGTTAATGGTTTAAATATTTAGGAGCTTTCTGAAAAATGTCACTCAATCACATGCAGGATGGAAGAGACTAAATGGTCACATTTTAAGAAAAGCAAAACATAAATAAAATGATAGAACATTGAGTAACTTAAGGGATCTAGGATAATTTCTTAGAAAATAACCTTTTACTGAGAACCTTTGTCAGCTGATCTCTGTGTCAGATGTGACTAATTAGAGCTTTTTACTCTTTGCTTTCAGAATAAAAGCATGATTTAAAAAATGTCAGCACTAAACATAAGGCAAGCATTGTTAAACAAGGCTTAAATAAAAATTCTGCTTACAAAATAACACATTGGGACAATTTAACAATACAGATACTTAAAGTTTATTTAATGGGTAACAGGGGATCTATAATGAATCTGTAGACCTAGTGTCTTCAGTTTTTAATTTCATATTAGATTCAGTCTTTTTATGTTTATGTAGCCTATATCTAGACCTATAGAAAGCAGGTTCACAACAAAATACGATTATAAAGACATTTGGGAAAATATCTAGGACCCAATCATTTGGATGCTGCGCGCCATTCATCCATAATCTATATATGTGGTTTTCATGGAGGGTCTCAGAGCCAATCTCTTATCAGTCTTGGTGGAGAAAATGGGAAAATGCCAGACAATTTGCCAGTTCATCACAGGACAATACAGAGACATAAAAGAGAAAACGCTTATATGCACAAACGTATACCTTTGTGCAGTTTAGACTGACCAGTTGGCATAAAAGGTCATGTGCTTGTAGTTTGGGAGGAATTTTTGTAGTGTTTGGCATGTTTCTCATTTGAAAAAGTATTGTGCTGAAATGTATTGCATGTTATATTGACGAAAAATAAACAACTTAAACATAATTTCCCCATCAAATTGAGGACCAGTTGTTGCAAAGTGAGGACATTTTGCCGGTCCTCACGTGCTATTTTGCAAATGGTTAGGTTTAGGGCTAAGATGTCAATTGTTTAGGGTTAGGTGTAGGAATGGATTGATAAGGTTAGGTTTAGAGTTAGTTTTAGGGTTAGTGGGGCAGGGTTGAAAATGACTGAAAATCAATGGAAGCAAAGGGAGTCAACACATGGTCCTCACTGCGATGGCAGAACGAGTATGTATGTGTGTATCATGTGCTGAAATTCCCGTAACAATGTCATCTATACATGTACACAATCAATTTAGCACCTTTGGTACATCTGGGTTATTATACTCCACGAACAAATACATTTTTTTGATTGTATAATATGTTATATTACATGATTTATATAATTCATTGGCTTCATACTGACTGTGCAATGTGCAATAAATTACAGTACTCTTATTCTATGAAACAACAAGTGTGTGTCAAAGGGATGAATTTATCTTAATTTTAAAAGCCTTATAAAGAGAACATCACTGTGACGTCACTCTATCCTATACTACCAACGGCCTATCAGCATTCCTTTGGAATGAACCAATTAAAGCTTTATTGTGAAAAGCCTAAGCGGAAGTTGTAATTGAGCCATCCTAGCAGCGGGACCGAGCGACGTGGACCAGCCGGAGGTTTTATAAACTTCCAAGTTATGGGACAGCGATTAAGTAACGATGGTTTTCTGTAAATAGAGCTGAACTGCAGTCATAGAAGGACTTTAAATTCACCGCCACTTCCGCTAGCGTTGAGTTGAAGGCGATCGGTTGTGATCATTTCTAAGATGATCCACAAAGAGACTGAATCAGACGCCTGGTTTTACACTTTGATCAGAGCAGTCTCTGCGGGGCTGGCTCACCTCATCTCTGGAGTCTTTCCAGCTTTTATTGCTTTTCTCTCTCGACCCGGAACGAGTGAGTGTGATTAATGCTGACACTTTTTTATTTTCACCTCCGGTTTGAGTTTTATTTTGTTTTTCTTTAACCCCGTATTTTTCTTCTTTAATTCAGGTTGGTTTTCATGGCATCCTTTCCTGATGACGGTAGCTGTAAGTTGAACCTCAACTGCAGACCTAAATGTGTATTTATGTCAATATTATCATAAACTAAAACTAAAAATAATGAAAACTAGAAAAATATTTTTTTCGTTAACTGCAATAAAAATAAAAACTAGACCTTGTCAAAACAAAGGAAACCTGACTTTACAAAACTAAAACTAAGTGAATTTCAAGGCTTTATGCTTAGTTTGTGTCTTTATTACAATGCATTAATATGAAATTGACTCATTTGTTGTTGTTCCACATTATGCCAGCAGATGGCGCTATGGTAGGTCATTTATCTGGGACTTTATTTTTTTCATAATTATTTTCTGTCTTGCCCCTGCTATTTGAGTTTTATTACAGAAAACTCTACAACTAATAAAAACAAAACAAAAATACATTAAAAAAATAAACTAGCTAACAAATATTAAAACTAAAATAAAAGTAAAATGGAATTGAAAGTCAAAACTTAATAGAAATAAAAACCATGAACATTTCAAAAGTATATTAACCTTTGTATGTGACCATGTTAGCTGTATATGTTAAGTACTTATGTTTATAAGTGTATATCCACTGTGTGCAGAATTATTAGGCAAGTTGTATTTTTGAGGATTATTTTTATTATTGGGCCACAATTTTGTTCTCAATCAACCCAAAAGACTCCTTAATATCAAAGTTTCATATTTTGGAAGTTGTGTTTTTTTGTCAGATTTGGCCATTTTATGAGGATGCCTGTGTGTGCAGGTAAATATTACTGTGCAGAATTATTAGGCAACATAATAAAAAAACAAATATATACCCATCTCACTTGTTTATTTTCACCAGGGAAACCAATATAACAACTCAAAATTAAGAGCCACCACAGCCTCCCAGACACTGTTCAGAGAGGTGGACTGTTTTCCCTCCCTGTAGATCTCACCTTTCATGAAGGACCACAGGATTCTCATGGGGTTCAGATCAGGTGAACAAGGGGGCCATGTCATAATTTTTTCTCCTTTTAGACTTTTTCTGGCCAGCCACGCTGTGGTGTATTTTGATGCATGTGACGGAGCATTGTCCTGCATGAATGCCATGTTTTTCTTGAATGATGGGGACTTCTTCTTGTACCACTGTTTGAAGAAGGTGTCTTCCAGAAACTGGCAGTTGGTCCGGGAGTCGATCTTGACTCCATCATCAACCCGAAAAGGTCCCACAAGCTCATCTTTGATGATACCAGCCCATACCAGTACCCCACCTCCACCTTGCTGGCGTCTGAGTCCATAAGGAACTTGCTGACCTTTACTGATCCAGCCTGGTGCCCATCCATCCATCTGGTCCATCAAGACTCACTCATTTCATCAGACCAAAACACCTTGTTGAAATCAGTCTGCCAGATATTTCTTGGCCCGATTTTGACGTTTTGTCTTGTGTGTCTTGTTCAAAGGTGGCCTTTTTCAGCTTTCCTTACCTTGGCCAGGTCCCTGAGTATTGAGCACCTTGTGCTTCTCGGCACTCCAGACATGTTGCAGCTCTTAAATATGGCACAACTGGTGGCTAATGGCTTCCTGGCAACTTCACAATTGATCCTTCTCAAATCATAGGGAGTTATTTTGCATCTTCTTTTTTCAACATGCTTCTTGCGCCCCTGTTGGCTATTTGCCATGAACCGCTTGATTGTACGATGATCCCGCTTAGAAAGCTTAGCAATTTCCAAACTGCTGCACCCTTCTGAAAGACATCTGACAATTTTTGACAGTCTGTCAAATCTCTTTTCTGACCCATTTTGCCAAAGGAAAGGAGGTTGCCTAATAATTAAGCCGAGCTTATATAGGGTGTTGATGTCATTAGGCCATTACAGAGATGCACCCCACCTGATTTACTTAATTGGTAGTTGACTTTCAAGCCTATACAGACTGCAGTTGGACATGTATGAAAAGGATGATGTGGTCGAAATCCTCATTTGCCTTATTATTCTGCACACTGTTTATAATTTACTCCCCTTACATAGACATTAGGCCAAAACATATATAGCTTACATAGACGTGTAGACACATTGACATATTTTTGGCACTAATAGAACCTCATAAAGTTACCATTAGGAGGCATCAACAAATAGCTTCCATCATACGTAGCAGTTTATTATGTGGAATGTCATTAATTTGTTTATTGCCTTTGTTTTAATGGGTTCTAAGCAGCAATGTAAAGAAAATATAGATCTCCAAATAGTTTAGATATTAATCAGTGTTTCTTTTTCTGTTTTAGTTCGGCTTCTTAATGACACAGGCCATCCTCCTCTTCTCCCCCCACGCTTCCCTCATCAAGAGGTTTCCACACAAGACCAAAGGCCGTGTTCACTGGATCCTGCAGGGCCTCTGTGCCTCCTGCGCAGTTCTGGGTCTTGTTGCCATTTCCTACAACAAGTACCTGAACGGTAAAGCACACTTCTCCTCCTGGCACGGTCTGCTGGGCCTGATCACGGTGTGTGTGGTGTGCGTGCAGTCCTTGGCGGCTGTGCCTCTCATCTACCACTCTCTGGCCAAAGGTTGGTCCCTCGCCAAGCTTAAGCGCTACCACGCTGCGTCCGGGCTTGTCACCTTTTTGCTGGGGAGCACCAGCCTGCTCCTGGGGCTCTGCTCCTCATGGTTTACAGCGTCTGTTGGGGGATATGCCTGGTACTTGGTGGCACTTTGCCCCACGCTCAGTGCTGTCATCATAATGAACCAGGTCTCCAGTGCTTACATCGCTAAAAAACGACTGCAGTCATGATGGAGATACATTTATTGGACAGTCGGTTCATTTTACTCCTTTTAAAAGACTGAACTACAACTTCTCAGGCCACAGACTTCCCTGCCTTTTTATGTTTGATGCTAATTTTTAATAATGATCTTTCCATGTTTGAATGAATAAAGTCAAATTAAAAAATGTAAGAAATGCGGGTCCTTTTGATTCTTATTTTGAGGCTCTTTTGATGCTTTAGGCATCTTACCATCCTGTCACAAATTTTTGCTTTCAGTAAAAAAATATATCAAATGTATCCATCTGTAAAAAGAACAAGTGGCCACAAAGAAGTAGATTGAAATGATTTTGAAATGCATATTTTTACATGTTAATTAGAATGCTCTGTAAATGGAAAAACGATATAGAAAAACTGAAAAAGCTACAGAATTGTAGAGAATTAAGATATAAAAGGTATTAAAAACAAGCAGAACAAAGATAGTATTTAAAGAACCAAAACATTAGATGTGTTGCAACTCCTTGTGGTTGACTTTCCCATCCAAAACAGATTAATCTCAGATCAACTCAGGATTTGGTGAGTTCCTATTATTCAAAGCTGGAGCCAAACTTTCCTCTAATCCACATGTACACACCCACCTGCTTTGTAATTCATTTTGCCTGGACAATATAGTACTTTTTTAACCACCCATGAGTTCAGTTAATATTTTGAATTAGGTCTAAAATAAAAAAAAAATTATCTCTGAACTTTTATATATGGGGATTGTTATCTTTAACACTCACACAGAAAAAAAAATGATCAAGCATGAAAATGTTTACTTTGCCAACAAGTCCAAGAAACCTGGATTTTCTATCCAAAATGTATCAGCCTAAAAAAGCCTTAAGAAAACCTTAACTTTCCAGAAACTGACTTTCAGCAGGTTTGGTTCCTCGTTTCCATTAGAACACAAAGTGACGCTACTGTTATCAATGCTCATATATTCTGTTTTCCTCCCATAATATCACTACTTTTGTTGCACTTTGCACACTCTTCCCCCCAACCCTTATAACCCAACCCAAACCTTGTATCTCCTCTGTTAAACTATATAAATTACTTGATCTAAATATATAGACAAAGAAAAAAAAAATGCTCTCATGTACATTTGTGGACACACTTTTGATGCTCTTTGTTTTGTTTGGTGGACCCCCCTCCTTTTTGTCTCACTGTATATTATTATATATATGAATAAAATATATTTATGTACAATAGAATATTATGATAGAATAATAAATAGAAAAAGCTTCCCTGTCAAGAACTCCTGCTTCTCAGTATGATCCATCAACTTCTTATGCAGTTGATTCTCATCTTTATTATATATTTACATATTTCTGTATTATTTTAATCACAATCTTGCTTAAGATTTATGACCTAAGGCAAAAATGTTTTGAAATAATTCCGTCTGTATTAGAAGATTATTTTATTTTTGAAATAACATTGATATCACATAGTTTTTTCATTTGATTTAGGCTGCATGTATGAAATCTTTACTGAATCAGCCATTAATGGGTCCAAATGAACAAAAAGTAACAAAAAAATACAGTTACAAAACCATATTTTACATTATAAATAAGTACATTTTAGACACAAAAATGAGGGACTCAAATGTCAAGTGGATTAACTAGAATTGGACGTCATGAAAAAACTATTTTTATAATAAAATATAGTAGAGACTAAAGAAAGAAAAGACAGTGGGGTCAATATAATGTACCTCACACAGCTCAAATCCAGAAATGTTCCTTTTACAAAGTGCTAGCTCCACGTTTGAATCAGAAACCACATGTTTAGTGACAAATAGGACAAAAAAAACTCATAATTCTTTGACAGAACTGAAATGAAGAATCCAGGAGGCGACCGAGCTGGAAACAGGCAAAAGCAAACAGTACCTCTAACCAAAAAAGATAAATCCTAAAGGGAATGATCTATTGTCTAAGTGTATCCAGTGTTTCTTAAAGGCTAATATTAACGGTCTAGCCTAGTTTACCAGCAGAGGAAAAGGACTTTTCCTACGTCTAAACAGGTGACAGAGAAACAGACAAAGAAAACGGGAGCTAAACTGCTGTAAAGCAAACCACACTTAGTGACACTCCTGACAGAAGCAACGCACACTGCAGCTAAACGGCTATCATCACATAACGGCACTGTCAGTTTTGTAAGGCCACCGCATCGACTCATCTGGCTCAGCCACTATCATGGGCAGTTTTACTGATAAAAGTCATCAGGACAAAATGAGGGTGGCCTGTTTGACTGAAGGGCAGATTCAGTGGTTTTATTCAAGATTAGGGACCGTTGGTTCTTAGAGACCTTATATAAAGGATTTTCTTTAGTAAGGTTTAGGTTAAATAATTCTATACAGGACAGGTCAGAAGTATTCATACACCAGGTAGAATTTGGCTTTTAATGATGCATGTGAACTGCTTGTTTTAGAGGTCAGATTTATAACAGCTGAAAAAAAGTTCTGATGGATAAAAAAAAAAAAAAAAATGCATAGACGGTTAATGTTAGTGTGCTTCTTTTTAGATGAACCCAAGTTTTAACCATCTCACCAAAACAGTCTTCCTCAGGTTAAATAAAATTGCTGAGGATGGTCGACGACAACACAGGAGCCGCCAAACCTTAAGCCAGTCTCATCATAAACAGGAAGTCAGGGATTGGTTTTCCCAAGTATTTTTATGGCCATATTTTTTCTTTAAACGTCACCTAAAATGATTGTTAGATGTATTCTCAACCAACAAATCAAATTAGCAACTTGAATTAAAACATCCGATGAGAAGAGTGGTCAAATATCGAAGCAATTATGCCATAAGATTGTAGATGGCCCGAAAAAAGCACACAGACGACATTTTCAAAATGTTAGCAGAAGTATAAGCAAATATTTAAATGATCTGCGTTGGAAAACGAAAGATAAAACCAAGCTTGTGCATGTTGTGATATTAACCCTCATTGAAAAAAAGAGAACATATCTGCTGATGATGAGTGCATGAAAACTTCTGACCAGTGCTGTAAACAAATGGTCGTCTAAGATCCACAACTAGATGAAAGTTAATCAGTTTGGAACGGAGATCCTTGGTTTGAGCTTCATTTGGTTTTGTAATTTTCTGCTTATATTCACAACGCCAGCTGTCTGATACATATGAATGATCTACTATTTGGGAATTTCAAAAATCAAGACCCTTTAGTGTAGATGAAAAGTATACAAAATAAACTAAAGAATCCACAGAACAAATCCATGTCCCAGTCCCTGCGTTTACAGCATGAAAGTACATTCGTTTCAGTTTGGAGGTAAATAAAGAAAACCCTTAAAATGAAATTAATACTTACCAAAGCTGGGGTGTTTATCATGTCCACTATTGTAATAAACAATCGCTCTACCACTGAAATCTACACACTGCACAGTATCGACTTGCAATATAAACAATGATAAAGACTGTTATTTACAAGTTTTAACATTTCCAATTTTAGCGCCACACGTCTCTTTTCAACAAGGGGCTGCTACTATTTCTATCAATCTGCTAAAGACTAAAATAAGCCTAAAATGTCTGCTTTTTGAGGTACGCATTGAAGGACTCTCTTTATATATTGTTTACTTTTTGACAAACGCTATAACCCCTTTATCTACAGAGAAGAAACTCTAAATGTTGAACGTGTCCAAACCAAACCTTGTTGTTGTTTTGACAGATCTGTTCCCCCTCCCCTGAAGCTCCAGATGAACACAGACACATTCAGCAGAAGGTTTGTGTTGCTCTTTGCAGTAATTAAGGTCTGATTCTGTTTTTTTAGCTGGATAATCGGTGTGTTTGTGACTGAAGAGGAGCATTAGGAATGGGAATTACTCATACCCTTCAAAGCTCTTCACATTTTGTCACATTTATGACCTCACACTAAAATGCAGTCTGTTGAGCTTTTGTCATAGCTCAACAGAAAGGCTTAAATATTGGTTGAAATGGAAATTATACACCCTTTTTAACTTTGTCCTGTTTTAACTTTAACAGTCCTTCGTGGAAGGCTGGAAAGAAGAGTCTGTATTGAAAAATAATCATCAATAACCGTTTGGCCCATATTCAAAACCCCTGGTATGGCAGAAATCCTCCTAAACAGGCCGTCGTCAGTGTTAGGAATGGTGGTGGTGGCATCATGCTCTGGGAATACTTCTCATGGACGTTGATCGGGAGGCTGATCAAAGTGGATTCTAAGAGTAAGTAATTAGATAAAGTCAGACTGCTGCAATAGAATGGTTTAAAACAAACCACCCATGTGTCAGAATAGCCTAGTTAAAGTCCAGAAAAAATTTAATTATGAATCTTGAATGCTGGTGTCGACTATCCATTCTGAATGAGCTTAAGCCATTTTGTAAAAATAAAAAGGGTAAAAACCTAAATCAAAGATAAGTAAAGATGGTAGAGGAAAGTCCAACAATACCTGCAGCTTGTGTACAAAAGTGGAGCTGCAAAGTATGAACTCTTTAGGGCTGAGCAGAAAGCAGACCACGGATAAAAAAAAACAAAAAAAAACAAATATCAACTTCCCTTTAACTAAACAACTATGCAAAACTTTATTATTGGTCTATCGGTTCAGATTCCAATGAAATACAATGAAGTCTGACACTAACTGACAAAATGTTAAAGAGTTCAAGGGGTATGAATACTTCTGCATCGCAGCATCTAAAACAGAAGCTGTGTAACCTGTTTATTGAAAATAAACACCTTTTAAGTTAGCTGGGAATAATTCATTCACACTGAATTGATTATTGATGTGAACACTGCAAGGAGGAGTTTCACATTTTCTGCTCTTGATCACTTGCTGTCAGGTTTCTGACAGCACTTTCAATGATAGATGTGGTCATCAATGATTGATTTTAGTCCTTTTGCTCCTGATTTGTAGTTATTCTTACATTTTTCCCATTTCAAATGACCTTTTTTTCCTGTAAAACTGTATGAAATACCACCATTGGGAAACTTAAAAATTATTATTGACCAGTGACCTCTATAACGTCATCGTCAGAGCTTTCCCCTCCATTCACGGTGCTCGAGTGTCTGTCTGGTTGTGTCAGAGCGGCCCCTAGCAGGCTAGAGGTGGGGTTGTTGAAATGAGAGAGGAAGCCAGATGTAGCAGAGTTGGAGTTTGGCATGGAAAAGCCCCCTG